GCTAGGCTAGCTCGCTAGGCCCCTGGGATAGGGGCTACCCTGGCTCGAGTATAGGGGTAGCTGTGGGAGTTCTGTATGGACCACTTGGGAATGGTGAAAATGAAGACAACTTGAGGGCCTTCAAAAGGGTGAAGGTGAGGGCCTTCAAGTTGAAAACATTGTGAAATCAAAGGTGAAAAGTCTTAGAGAGTTGCCGTTTGTCATGAAATTTGCTGAGCTTGGTCTGTGAAGAGCAAGTGGCGAGACTAGATGCCTTCAAAATGATGTGCTTGCCGGCTATAGCTGATCATCAGAATCCAGAAACTTCTGCCTTGTTGGCATGTTTGATCAATCTGAATGTGTTTTTTGTTGAGACATGTTGCGTGCATGGCTCAGTGAAGTTTAGCGCAGTAGATAGAGTTGATTCGTACATGAACATACTTGATCTTTTAAAGGTCTTCTTAAAACGGTAAATCCAAGCCGCGCTTGGTGCGCGGCTGGATGCCTTGTTGTTTCGCCTTCGCGGTGCAAATCGTATCCCCAGTTTGACCGATGGAGCTTTGCACGAAGCCGCCGTTGGAGCCTAGGCTCCATCGGTTTGACCACCCGTTCGCATGTTCCTGGGCCAGCGTTTCAAATTTGTCCCAATGTGTGGTTTCATGTTTTTGCAATTGGGAAAAAGTTGCGAACACTTCTTGATGGTCCAAATTCTGGCTTTGATGGAAACCCTCAACCCTCCGTTTAAAAAACTTAATATCGAGCCACACCAAGAATGAAGTTGTCCGGGCTCTAAGTGTTCCTTGCAGACCACAATCAAAAAGATACAAAAAGAGTCCTCGGCTGCGCCATGAAAACCAACGTCCCGAAGAACAGTTTCCTCCACAGAACCATCTCAATCCAGGGGAAAAGAACGGTAAGTCATAAGTAAAGCATCTCCGAAACACCTGCGAAACAAGCACGACCATCTCCAAGGGTGCTCCACGGTCCTTTCCACTGGATACTTTGGTGGGCTGCTCCTGTACGCTCGGCGCGCTGAGGGCACATGGCTTTGACTACAGCATGAGCGGGGAGCACTCCCAAGCAAACGTGTGGAGAACTCCCCTGACAGGTTCTTCCGGATTCTTCACATGTCCGCCTTCCCTTTTTTGGAGCGATCCAGTACGGACAAAAAGCCTGGCTCGTTCAGACCGACTGGAAGAGAAAAAAACCCGAAGTCTTTGGGGTCTCTTTCCGGACACGACGATGTCTTCGTTTCCACACATGGCATGGCCCACTGGGACGTCGGACGTGCTAAGACATCGGTTTTTGGGAGTGAATCATGACCGCCGTTCGGCGGCACGCCGAGCTACAAAACGCTGCAGGGAATCAATTTATTGGGCAAGTGGCTACTTGTCTTTAGGAAATTCACGAATGCAGCCCACCGAACAAAGCGAAAGCTCCTCTTATCTGACCATATCTTCTCTATCTTCCCCACACCACCTGTTTTCTTTGCTTGGAGGCCTTGCTTCTTCCCAACTCACCACCCCTCGACCTCTACTACAGTCGACCTCTACCTCCCAACCTGACCCCCATCTGCTCCGCTTGGAGCGACCACGACCACCCCTTCCACTTCCGATCTCCTCGGTGACGTTGCGGCTGAACTCCGGATCCGGCTCGAAGGACCTCCGCGACGCGAGCCGAGCCACGTCCGACGTCTGCGCCGGACGTCCGGCCGTTCGTGGAAGTCTGGGCCTGGGAAGTCCGGCCTGGACAAGGCTTAGGGCGCGGGGCCACGGATCTACAAGTAGGTGAGTCACAGGCTTAGGTGGTTTGACACAGATGTCCCAAAATGAGTGGATTTGGGATGTGGCATACCTGGCCGAAAGCACCATGCAATAGTGGGTGAGATGTTCTTCAAAGGTTACTTTGAACGTCCATTGATGTTGTAGTCTAGTTGTGATATGCTGTTATTCTGTTCAAGACCCTTGTTGGACAGAAAGACATGTGAAACTCGGGTGATTCCTCTACTACTCAGCCGCCAGTACATGAAAAGCTTTGGACCAAACCCAAACGGACGACCAGCCGTCTACAAAGGATGACTACTAGGTAACTAAATCATGAAGACCGCAAAGAAAATGGGGACCATCCTTATCCTTGATTTGGGCTCATTGTCAAACCCTAGACTAGATCTACCAACTGCTCACCTGGAACCTTCAAACATGCGAACACATGCTGACCTGCAGAACAGGTTTGAACGAAAGAACGTCTGGCGTGTACTTGTCCATACTTTTCCTTTGCCAGCCACTGACCACGGGACTTCCTCCTGAGATTCTTCCACACCAAGTGAACCACCGTGTTCCTAATGTAGAAAAAGACCAGACTCACATATGACCTCGCTGCACTTCTACACATGATTCCTCTCAACATCCAACCGCATGGTGTCCCCCGTACATGTCCAATGTACACGTGGTGTCCACCTACAAATCCAGACCCCGTGCTCCAAAAAAGCAGTGCCTTGCTTGTGCCTTGCTTGTGCCAGCCTGTCTCCCTGAAACAGGAACAATAGGGAAAGAAAAGGAAGATCGCTTCCAAGCGGCACTTGCGTCAGCGCGCAGTCCTGCCGTGGCTGCGCCACGACCGCCGGCACCAGGGGCATGGCACGGTGCATGATGCAGAGCCCATCGCCCTCGAAGCTGGTGGGACGCTGCAGCTTGCTGTTGTTGGGGCCACAGAGGTGAAGAGCACCCTCCACGAACTTGAAGATGTACGGAATGGCCGGTGGAGGACCTGAGAGTCGACACACTCGGCGGCGAGCTGTTTGGGGTGGGTGAGCGAGGTGCTTGGACCTTGGAGTGATCCATCCAACGCAATCAACGCCATCTCCAAGCGGAAAGGACGTGGGGGAATACGTGGAGGAGACTGACTGACCTCCCAAGCTTCTCTCGATAGACCTCCCAAGCCTCGATAGACCTCCATGGAAGTGTCCGACCTCCTCACGGCGTCTACGTCGCCTCATCCTCAAGGGTAGACGAACCCCATTTGGAATCAATCGAACCCCATTTGGATTGAAAAGCCGCTTCATGTGGGGCGGGTGATGTATCAAGAGTCTACATATGAGTAATATACAGTCGGGTCTTCACCCTCCAGACAGAGTCTCTATCACATGAGCTACAGCCTACATGGTTGAAATCCCTCATATCACATAAACTGGCATCTGAGAATACACCATGTGAACAGGGCGACTGATCCCATGGCTTCCAGCAGCTTGCTGCAAAAAACCGTTGTCACACCAGGTCACCTAACTCGCTCACTCGCTGCGCGCCGAAACGGATCCCTATACCGAGCCACAGCTGCTGCCCTGGGGCAGCACTTCGATATCCAGTTGCCAGGGTTCCACCGAGCAGTTCATGCGGAATTTCGCATCCAAGGTGGATCCCATCACCGTGACGGCCGCGTGGATGCAGTCCTGTGGATGGTTCCAGACACGCGATCCGCACGCCAGCGCGCAGGGGCGCACAAACAGGCGCAAGAATAGGAATTTGGCCATTGCTTCCCCTGTTTTTGGGGATCGTCGCGCTTCTGGGACGTCAAAGATTTGTCCAAGAAAGTTGAAGCAACAGACTTTAACCCCCATTGAAGGACTACGTCTGACTACGTATATACTAGTCACATATTGTGACTGTCCCTTTCCTTGAGTTCCTCGCTTTACTACAGGAGAGTCGCCTGTTGCGCACGTAAAAAAACCTCGCAACACACGCGCGTTTACACCCCGAGCGTCGTTGTGGAACTCGATGCGCTGGTCGTAACCTCCCAAGGCCTTGCTGGTCTTGCCTGCGAGCGCCGCGGAAGATGCTCGGGCTGCAGGAGCCCCCCCAACTTGCAAAGGGCGGTGGGGGTTGGAAACTGGGCTATCTGAATCAGCAGGGAAGAGCTCTCCGCGTGGCTCTCCGCTGCTCGTGGCTCCAGTGGATGCATGGGATCTACAGTCGCTGCTTTATGCTCTAGCCCCCCGCCCAAGCGAAGTAGATGATGTGAACCGGACAGTTCATGTGAACCGAACTGAATGGGATTTGGATGTGGGATGTCTTTATTCAATAAATAGCCTGGACCCTTTGAAGCCTGGGCCGGGAATCGTTACATGCAGTTACAAATCATCAATTACGACTTAAGTTGGATCATCAATTCCCGCAATCGTTACAAATCATCCCTTCCAGCTGAGGATCAAAACAACGCTGAGAGATCTGCAAAATGAAACTAGGTGTTGGAGAAGGTTGTCTCGAACAAAAGGGACTGGCTGACGAAAGAATAGCCTACTAAAAGCAAATCAAGTGTAGCGTGCTAGCAAAAAAATGTCCTTGAATGTCTAGTGTCTACAACAAAACTAGATTCTTTAACACAAAAAATCAGATAAAACTCTCCTCCACCACCGCCACGCTGTCTTCGCAGCACCAGACCTCTCTCCCTCCCGCGCATTACGAATGACGGGAGAGGCTGCCTTGCCAAACTCCGGCGATGCGCGCGTCGAAGCCGCCAGAGAAGGGCGTCTTGGCGTCGCGCTTCATGTCGGCAAAGGCGCCCAGGTGGGACATCGTGTCCTCCGGGGCCGGGCCCGTTCTCGGGCGTCACGTGCAGCAACGCCCGTGTGGTCGGCGGTTCCACAACGTTGGGTTCTGAGAGAGACAGGGTCGTCCACCCAGCGGAACTGTCCGTGTGGATCCTGGTCCAGCAATGACTTTTTACATTTATCAAGTCCAATGTATCAACCTGTATTTATTTATCTTCACACATCTCATCACCGAAACTCACTGACACCACCTTGCCTTGTTCTTTCCTTGCATTCCTTGCCTAACTCCCTTGCCTAACTCCCTTTCTGCTTCGTTCTGAGCCCCCCAAAAAATGCCGGCCAAGCGTCATCCGTGCAAATCGAAGGTCCCCAGTATTGGCTGCCTTCATCGCTCTCTTGCACGGAGGTGCCATGCAAGATTCCCTCAGCCGCCGCGACGTCCGACGTGCGACGCTCACGCGCAGCGGACGCGGGCTCGTCGGGCTCGTTCGGGGCCACGTGGAGAGGCTCTGGCGGTGCTGTTCGGGGCCGAATCTCACCAGCTGTGTCCCTGTGGTGATTTTTGAGGTGCTTGTTTTTGGAGTGAAAGCTACTTGTGCTGCATCTGTTCGTGGTTTTTGCGGAAAGCGCGGCCAGCTTTTAAAGACGTCGTGAGGACGTCCAGTGTGATCGTCTGAAGTCAGAAGTCTGGTCTTCAGGTGCTGGGAGGGTTCACCTCAAAGTGATGGGACTTCAAAGTGAGGATGATTCTACTCAAAGCCGCCAGGCCGCCAGGCCCCTCAAAGCACCCAGAGAGCCCCTGGACGCAACAACCCCACTCGACTTCTGCACCATTCTGACCCATGGAACGTCGCAGCTGCCACCAGGTTGCACGCCACACCCCATCCCATCTGACCCTTCATCCCTCCCCTCTCCGAGCCACGCTGGCACCCAGCTTGGTGAGGTCGCCCAAATTGGCCACGATGGCGGAGGCGGAGCCCTCCGAGAGCTTCGTGGAGCCGCCAATGGAGCTGTGCTCCTCCACCTGCGTATGTGTCGGGTGGTCCCCTCACAAAAGCACCCAACAGTTCGCCATTGATCAGGTGTTTCCTCCGAAAAATCCAGGAAAGAAACCGACGACCCACTGGACGCCTTTCTTTTTTGGTCCGGACCCAAAACCTCCGCGCCTTGAAGTCTTCGAAACCCGTGTGCAAGTCAGCCTCCTTGGACTCATCCTCAGTGGCTCTGCGGCACACACCATCCCGTTTGGAACGAGCGGCGAACGGCGACCGCGTGGCGACGGCAGAGACGCTGCGTAGTGAGGAGCAGGTTCCACTCCGGGGGGGCAAACAGAAGAAACAAAGAAGACGAGTTCTCAAAGCAAAAGAGCCACTTGAATCTGGCCTGTTTCTCCCATCACCAAAGACTAAAGAGGAACAGCTTTCACCCCAAAAAAAGAACACGGGCGGGGAGAGAAAAAAAGAAAAGAAGAAGGATTCCTTCCTGTTGCAGGACACCCCCTGCTAATCAGAAAAATAAAAACTTCTCCACCTCCTTCAAACCTCTTCAAACTCTATCGTTCCAAAGTGCCATGGTGGCATCGAACTGAATGGCGGCCACCAGATGGCGCTCCTTGCCATGGCTCACCGCGCTCCTTGGCACCACGGAGAGGTGCAGCGTGGCCGAGAGCCGCGCCTGGGAGGTCTTCGAGAGCATCTTGCCTTGGGGAGATCGGAGATGTGGAAGAGAGCTGGGGCGACATTTAGCGTATTTGGTGGAGGATTTTATTTCGAACATTCAGCAGGAGCGTAACGTAGCAGGTGGCGAAGTTTAAGTGAAGCTGGTGAAGTCATGATACTTTGAGAACGATCATGAACCATCTATAGTGGGAGGAGCAGGGTTTCTCTCCACGTAAGAAAAAAAAACTATCTCCAGTCAATCCTCCAAGACCTCAGTCGGCCGCAAGGCCTTCCAAGGGTTTGTGGAAAGGAAGGGGTGTCACTGTACAAATACAGAATGACAAAAAGCACTTTCATGAACCAAATGCCACATTTCGCTGAACGGAGTTGGAAGCACCACTCTGGGGCAACCAAGCACTCTACTTGTACTTATGGAAGATCCCTGTTGCCCCTCCGTCCGCGTGGACGAAATCACCTCACGTCCCATCGTCCCATCGTCACATCTCCAGGCGGCTGTGCAGCACTTGAGCGATGGGTGGCATGGAACCGCCAGAGCAGGTCCAAATGCCTGAAGAGAAGGGAACGTTCACAACGGCACAAGCTCTCCGACATCAAGAGAAATTTCGTGCATCTAAAGAGACATCGGGATCTCCCTAGGTGCACATGTGTGGATTCCATGTTGGGGATTCCTCGAGCTAGTTGGAACAAAACACCATCGGTCGGTTGCGCATTTGCTTTCACACGACGCGAGCGTCCACGTCAGCCGCGACGCCAGCGTCGCGGCGGACATGGAAAGGACCCATCGAGCGAATCGAGCGGACCCGGGGGGCGACGAAGCGCAGCTTCCACGCTCCAGGATCCGAGTTTGTCAAGTCATGTTGGGAGGCTGACGGTCCTCCAAAGCGAACCTGTGGGTCCTTCAATGCCCAGTGCAGCTGGGGTTCACCATTGAATTTAAATTATATTTATATTTCTCTTTTACTTTAAATTCAATGGTAAGATTAATATTAAATCTATAATCATGATGTCCTCCTTTAATTTATTTATGGAGGACAGGCCATCGGTAAGTTCTCTAATTATAATTCATTACGCTGCTTATTAAAATTCCCTCTCTTATCTCACATCTGCGCTCCTGCCCCAGCTCCACTCCACAGCGCCGAACCGCGCGCGGCAGCGGCGCCCCGAAAACGCGCGCGCCTTGGGTGGACAGACTCACCTCGGTGCCCTGGGGGCAATCCGCCTGGCGGACCACGTTGCGAACGTAGGCGGAGAAGTCCGACTTGTCTTCCTCAGCGGAGCGCAGCGCACGGCGGAGCGCACGGCCGGGAGGAGGAGATGTCGGGCGGCTGGGGTGGACCTGCAGCGTGTGTTGGTGGACCTGCAGCGTGTGTTGCTTTTTCCCCAAGTGGAGGGAAGAAGTTGCCCAAAAAATCTCTCTCACCATTTTCCACCTCTATATCTTTTACAATTAAAACAAGGGTTATCATGAGCTATCTACTGTCCCCCCCGACCACCACCCGCTCACCGGCCCACCCCCGCCCCACACGGGACACCGGCCCGAACTCGGCACCGGAGCCGAAGCATCTTCTCCGGCCAAGAGGTCCTTCAGGTTGGCGCCCAACACGCGCGTCCCGAGCATCCTCGGCAGCAGGAAAAGCCGCAAGGTCCGAGGAGCGGAAGGAACAAGGGCGGAAAAGAACAACGAGAAGACCACACCATGTGTTGGACACAGACAAGCAAAAAAGGAAGAACCTATACTGTAGTGATGAGTTCATAAAGAAGGAAAGAAGAAGTACAAGAATGAAGATAATGCTTCATGACCACCCCATGACCACATGCTTGATTGCCCTGCTAAACAAACATACGAAGAAAACAGCGATGCGTCGATGCCAAGGATCTTCTCCAATTTTTCCATGTCTCCACACATGGCGCCCGGCAACTTGCAACGGCCGGCGGCATCCAGCACGCAGGGCAGGATGATATCGAAGCTGCCGCGGAGGATGGAGATCATACCTCGGCGTGTCCGTGAAACATCAATCAAATCACGAAATCACTACCTTGAATTCTGCTGAAAATCACTACCCCAAGGGTGAAAATTCATCAAGATTTGTACAAAAGCATCGGCGGGTTCCCCCTACTGCGATGCTATATATAACCCGCAGCATCGGAATGGACGGACTTCCGAAGTGGAAGAACCTCGTGACAGACCCTGGGAGGCCTTAAGGTCTGATTTCTTGAGATCTACCCACTCTCATCCATGTCTCTGGTTGCTGCGCATGTGAACTCTTAAGTATGGGGAGGCAAGACTTGACCCACCAGCCGGTGAAATAGTGGATGGGGGGCGGAAAAAGGTGGTTGAAGTGACCTGCAATCAAAAGGGGTGATCCTTCACTGATTGAATACACCTGGAAAAATTGACCACATTACCTCCACTGGCGTTTTTGGTTTGATGCTGAAATAAGTGAACAAAATGCGAAGAATGCAAGGGCAAAGCTGGCATCATGAGCACAATTGGTATTGATAAGAGGGCGTCCCTTTTTATGTTTTCGAGACACAAAAAGAGGACACCAAAGGGACACCCGCATTTCCAGCACCACCATATCTCATGTTCATTTAAAATCTACCACGATGTTTGGGGGATGTTCTCGGTGAAAGCCCAAGCTCATGACGCCACGCCTGAGTTCATCAGTTCCTACTCTACGGCCGCCCGGGGGTAGTTCCAGCCATCCTGCCGTCCAAGTGACCCACGTTGGAGACGCTCACCTTGCGCAGGACATCGGTCAGGGTCTTGTGATACCTCAGGTCGACCAGCAGGAACGGATGAACAGGTTGACTGGGATTGGATAAACAGGTCGAGCCATTCGAAGGGAGGAAAATCTGCCGGTGGTGACCCAGTCAGACCCTGACTGAAGAACTTCTGCGCCCCCTTAATCGTCGATAAAGATCGGGCGAGCCGGCTTGATTTTGCCAGTTGACTGTTCAATCGTTTGTCTTCAATCTACCTTGCCACTGGTCAGCGAAATCTGAGAGCTTCCAAGGACACGCACCAGGCTTTACTCCCAAAGAGGAAAGTGCTTTCCGTCGTGTCCGATCCCTTTCTTCGTCCCTTCTTTCTTTCAGCGACTCGTCCGCGCGGATGAAGACGAAGGCGGCGCAGTAGGCGATCTTGGCGCCGAAGGTCAACACGAAGAAGCCCTTGCGCTCGGCGTGGGCGTCCACCAGGCCCATCACCGAGGACATGTAGACCACACCTATGAAGCAGGAGATCTTCTTGCATTGAATGTGGTGTATTCTTTGGGGGGGAGGTGTGACAAGCAGAAACGGAATTGGGAGAGGATGGAGTTGAGAAGATTTAGAAGGCATGAAGAAGCTGCCAGATGTCAGTTCTCATCTAAAAGAAGTCTTGGCCATCTGCAGGCTCATGTTCAACCGTAGTGCCATATTGCCATAGTGCAATATAGATGTGTATAGGCATTCTACATCCCTATCATCCTTCAACTAATTCATCACTTTTTGTGGTTGTTGATGTCGCATCAATATCGAAAAGTTAAAATTAACTAAATCTGTAATGTATATGACAGTATATATATAATACATGTACTTGAGAAAATGAACAAAACACATAAAACACCCCTGAGGTGACCCTGGAACCAATTCTCTTCACTTCAAGGAGGACTCCAGTGTGAAACACACGGTGTCTTTCCGTCCGCGCACCGTAGAGGACGAAGGCCAAGATCAGCCCGTTGGAGAGCCATGGACGGATGCCTCCGAGGGAACCGCTCCAAGGGACACGGTCGAAGCACAAGTGGTTCGACCGAGCGAAGCGATTCGAGACTATCTAGACCTCACCTAGTGTTCTCGAGTGTTAATGGATGGAGGTGCGAAATGATCGAAATGGAGAATGATGATAGATGATGAATCAACTGAGAACAATGACCAGTGGAAAGTAGAAACTAGGAATCCTTCATAGGTTGATGAAAGCTCCCATACCTGTCAAGCCCAATGCCCAATGCTAACAAATAGAAGAAACCAAATAGGTAAATTAAGATAGGAACGCATTTTTGACTATGCTTCCCCCAGGTGTAGCCCAACTCTTTAAACTCTTCCAACTCCGCACGCAGCACCCAACCATGCACCACGCAAGCATGACCTACACCGCTCCTTGCAACCGCAACCCGCGGCCGCAACCCGCGGCCTCGGCTGGGGAGGTCCTGCGGTGCGGAGCGCTCGAAGTCCTTGACCCATTGCAGCATGTCCACCGAGGCCCAGCCGTACATGGCCATGGAGACGAAGATCAACCTGGCCATCAGGCGCCGTGCCACAAGCCACAAGCCACAAGCAGCGGCGATGCGGCCGAGGAGGCACGTGGGTGACCCGTGTGGCTCGCGCGAAAAGAACCACGGCTGAGTGGGCGAAGCGTCTGGGGGGAACGTCTCGTGGCAGGATCAAAACACAAGGAAATGCTACCAGGAGAACAATTGACAGTTGGCAAATGATTGAGGACCCATACTAGAGGGAAACATCAACCAACACACATCCGTTGCAAGAGTCTCTGTTATGGGTTGTCAGAGACTCATGCAAAGATTGATTCCCCCATCAAAAATGCGGCTCAAGAGCCATCTTGATTGATTTGCCCTTGTCTGTTCTTCCTTCCTAAGCCAAAGAACCCTTGACCAATCACCCAAACTCAAACAGCAAGTTCGCCTACCCACTCTGCCACCCACCCAGTGGCCCTCCCAAACCCCTACCCTCACGTCCCTCCTTTGCGTGCGAGGTGCATCCACTTCAGAAGGCCCGAGCTGGTGACCTGCGCCGCCCAGCAGAAAATCACATAGACGTTGGTCACGATCAGCGGGCGCGAGACCTCCAAGACTGGACGGCCCAGGCTGCAGTAGCCAGACAAGATCATGAGGATGGGCACGTTGATGCCCCACTCCATGTACCTGATCACACATGAAGTCACATGAAGTCTGATGATGAAGTCTCCCAAGCAAACAAAAGGGTCTGGATGGCTGAAAAGGGTCGAGGGAACTGTCTCGAGGGAAGCTCTACCTTTCCCCAATGCACAAGCTAGTTCATGTACCTCAACTTGAGACCGTGCCTTTCGATGAGAAGCTTGGACCAGATTCTGGAAAACAGGAAAAAGAAAAAAACAATCCAGCAGTCCAGCTCGCGCAGTTCAACCGCGCAGTTCAACCCGCACCAAACAAAAAAGAACATAGAGCACGACCTGAAACGCCACGCCCGGCGGCTGCATCGTGTAGACGGGGCGTCCCGGAGCCGTGAGCCCATCGGCGTTCGGCTCGATGTGGGCGATGGTCCAGTCGGCACGGCTGAAGAAGCGCTCGGCCGTGGCCAGGACGCCGAACATCAAGGCCAACAGGAAGCTGGGCCTCGGACCGGTGGGACGCGCAGACGTGGCGACGGCACCAGGGAGGACTAGGACGGACTCGACCTGGACTCCGACCACCCAGACACGAGCTGTCAGTCTTTTCATGCCGCCCCCAGAAGGAGCCCTGAAATCAACCAACCACCCCAATGTACAGGTACGAGTTACCTTTATATCATATGATCTCTGTCTGTCTATCTCATACATGAAGTGTCAGGGAAATGCTTCTTTTTCGACACCTCGAGACGAGTCGACATCGTTTCAGACCCCCACGTACATGACATCGCCGAGGCACAAGCAGCGGCTCTTTAAATGAGGAATCAACGCTTGGGTCTGCTTAGAGCCCAAATAGGTGGCCTCAGAGAGCCCAACGGCCCAACACATCACCAAGTGACGAGGCAGGACGAGGCGGTTCAGCTGGAGCTGCAGAAACAGAGTGTACACATGATGTTTTGCCAAAGTCTGAACGGTTCAGCCTGACGAACGGACACCTCGTCCGATGTTTCTCCAACACCTGATTTTTTGGACGGATGTCGGATCGGAGTTCCGCCACGGACAGCCTCGGGCGTGTGAATCAGCCCACCCTCCAGCTTAGTTTCCAAAAGAGTCAACCAGTAGCATATCACGCTTCAAGACACCCACGGATCAATCAACCGCTCATCAGCGCCATGTCGTGGCGCCATGGCGTCGCCAGGACTGGAACAGCGGCGCGACCCGAAACCCCTCCGTCCCCCCCTCCGTCCGAAACCCGCGGGCGGGTTCGCGGCGTGGCCGTGGCCGGGCGGCAATGAGGCCGCAGATCTCGTGGCCAGCCATCGCCACCAAGGCCGCCGTTGAGACGATGTGGTAGTATCCTGCCGCCCGTTTGGCGGCGAGGCGCCGCCGTGGCGTGGCGACAAGGGGCCGGGAATCGCCCCGGGTTTTGGGAGGGTTTGGGGGTGGTGACAGAGGGGGGGGGGTCACATGGAGGAACCGCGGGAAAGGCGAAAATGAGAGGGGGCCAACATGTCTCAGTTTGGGGCAACAGGTCGCAGGTCTTGAATTCATAAGGGAGGGATGCCGAGATCGATCGGACGAGATCGATCGGACGCGATCGATGCGTCTCAACATCGAAATGCACTCACAGTTGGTGCCCGGCACCAGAAAGGCCAGCTGAGAGAGATGCTGGCCATGGAACCTCACCATCTTCGAAAGCCTTGGCCCTCTTACATCAGGGTCTTCCACAGAAAAAAACCATCCGGTCACTCGAACCAAAAACATGCGCCATCACCAGAACCCGGCTCTTCCAGTAGAACCACCGCCCCCCAAAGCGAAAGCGAAAGCGCTCGCTCCGCGTGGCGGTCGCAAAAAGAAGAAAACGAGTCGAGACCGGACTTCGTCACAACGGGTCTCGATCCGTTCGTCGTCTCGTTGGGTGTCCACCCCACCCACCCCCACGGACGTTCCGGTCACACATCGGTCAGGTCGGTCAGGTGGATGCGAAGGTCGTCCGGGTCGAGTGGGAAATCCGTCTCCTGGATAGGTCTTCAAATATTTGGTGCACGTCGAGGACTCTTGACATGCCTCCGGGCTCATCACGGACCAACAAATCGCCCAGGTGGCCAAGGTGGCGCCGATCCACACCGGGAGCTGTCCAATCCTGAGCTCCAGCCGGACGGTAATACCCAGGTCAAACGCAACGAGTAGTCGTTGACGGTGTGGTCAGGGTGCTGCTGAAGTCGTTGACTTCTTCTGTTTCTTGGGTTCATTCCTTTGATTTTGAAAATCTCTTGCATTGCGCCATGTGTGTGTGTGTGTGTGTGGGCGAGACCTCACCAGTGCAATTAGCCACAAAGGAAGGAAGAGTTTTGAGCTTGGGCTCAAGTGCACTTGATGTGTTGCCCGCATTCTTCAGAAAACAGAGTGGATGTGGTCATCATGATGATATAGTCAATTGAAAATCGACGATGGGTGACCAATGAAGACAAGGTGGAATCACTTCGCAAACAGTCCTCACCCAATCTGAGCTACCATGAATGGGTTGTCAGGATGCATGAACATCTTCATGACTGCATGCGGGTCACTGCGTGTACCGAAGCGTTCACCACGAACACATCCCTGCCGGTGTGAACGTTTCGAAAAATCCTTCAGTTTAGAAAACCTGTCTAATGCTGACGGCCGATTAGTAAAACCGCCCATACTGTGGTGGTTTTACAAAACAAATGCGGGGGTTGTTGATCACCCATCTATGTGAACTGAAACCTCTCAATCCCTAAAAAAGAAGATGTCACAAGAAGGGTGTTCCTCAGGGTTCCTCCGCAAGCCACCTTTGGGGTTTGCGGAGGCACGTGGTTTGTAGCCGCATGCGTCTCCATGTGTGGCATAGAGCGTTTTCCACTTGGATGAGTGAGTTGATTCTACGTGGGATCGAATTGGAAGTTTGCCATAATTTGCTGTTACTTGTGGTGCTCACTTTCGAGTCTTCTTCCCTCTTACCCACACCATTGGTCCCAACACGCTGAAGAAGAGAGACGCCGAAAAGTGTGGAAGCCACTCGATTTGTTACAACATGGTACACCAAGAAACTGGCTTCACCCAAGGTGAACACTCGCACACACATCCATTCACGCCTGTCGAACCAAGGCTTCGAGCCCAAACACGTCGCACACGTCGCACACGTCGCCGTCGGCCATGAAGGATCCAAGGGTCAAACTGGCCATGGTGCTGAATCACAAGCAGCTGAAACAAAGAGCTGAAACCGTCCAAAAGGCTGCGGTCATTCATAATATAACGGGGCAAGGAAGTGAGATGCTGCGCACACTAAGAGAAATGCTGAAATGCTGCGTGCGCAATGAGGTCTTTTCCTTTCAAACTGCGCATTAGCTGCCGGGAGGCGGTATTCACCTCACCAGAACCTGGAACGGCACAGGGTCGCAACGAAAAGACCTTTCCATGTGATGCCACGTCTACAAGCTACGAAGTGTTTCCAACGGAAAACAAAACAAGAAAAATAGAGGCTAAACACAAACAAATGATGCGCCTTCCAAACAGTAAAACGGGCTGCCAATGGCAAGCACACACGAGTTTCAAGATAAAACAGACCTGGCTACTGTGGAAACGCCTGATGGGGTGACTGGCTCCTTTCTGCATCACTCAGTGGATAACCCCACCATTCAACGCCACCCACGACCTTTGCAGTATCCAAGGAGCCACTCGAGGAGCATCGGCTCGAGGGACCACACGCTGAGGAACAAAGGAATCCACGGTGGGGTGTGGAGATCCGAATGCTCCCAACCACCGTTGGTAGCTCGCCTCATCTGGAAATCGAGGAAAAGATTCACGAAACGGTTGAAGAATTCAAGAGGGTAAAGGAAAATGTCCAATCGATATGGCCAGATCAGACAAAGAGACAGGGATATATATTTTTTGGAGTCAAAGACTTGAACAGAATGGTCTTTAGGGTATCTGAAAGGCTTCAGTGAATGAAAGGAACTTCCTTTCCTTCTCCAAGCAAAATATAATCTTTTCACTTCGTCTATATAGTGTATCCGCCAATGAAAAAGACCATTTTGACCAACGACTTGAAAAGCCGCCGAGAAACCAAACTGGGCCACATGGTATAGCCACAGCTGCCGGCCCAAACTTTCAGGGCTCGGGCGAAGCAGCGGTCATACTCGGTGCCCACTGCGTCCAGGCGGAAGCGCATCTGGCAGCAAGGCTGATCGTTCCAAGACGAATCACATGACAAATTCCCGAGCAGATCACATGGCAAATCCCAAGACGAAATGAACTTTTTCGATATGATTCCATATGAAAAAAGATACATTCACAGTGATCAAGCTGTTCGGTACAAGAACATCACAAGCAAGTTCAATTCTGTTCAATCCCGTATCATGAACTGCAACAAAGCTTGATAGTCTCTCGTGAAAACTGGCTTCGTCCCAGAGTGATACTTCCAAACCACTTCACCGTGCTGGTCGAACGCATTTGAACCAAGGCACGTATTCAGGGTGATTCAAGGGCACGAACTCTGTCTCCCAAGTCTTAGATGCACTCCATTCACAGGAAGAACAAGGCTCGTTCATTCACAACAACAAGGCCCGCTGTTTCGTTGCTTCAAACGAGCGACCTGGCCGAATGAGGCACACTTCCTTGCGCCTTCCTTGTGGGTTCCTCGTGCCTCTTTGTTGTTTTGTTGCACAAAGTATCCATTCTTTCAAGTGTCAGAGAGACGTCTCATGTCCCTTTCAGGGTCTCAGCCAGGAGACATAGCGGCGGCATGTGCACAAGACCACGTTGCTGCCAAACTCCGGCACAATTACAGTCTCTTCGACTTCCTGCAGGGGGACAACAACTTGTACATCAGCATGTATCTGCATGACTTAATGTACAAAAGGCCTGGGGCACCACATCCACTTGAGAATTGTCAATCAAACAGATTGCAAATTCGCTTGTTAGTTGAATCTGCCACCCAATACAAGTACTAGCCCTCCACCATCTTCACTTTAGAATTGTCAAATCAAGCAAGTTGCAGTTTTGCTATTTAGCTGAATCTAGCGCCCAATACAAGTACTAGCAAAAAAATACCTGAGAATCAAGCATCAAGAATCAAGAGCATGTCACTGAAGTGCCAGGATACTTTGACCTTACATAACTTACACATCACTTTCATGCGCTCCTGCATGTCAATCAGCACAATGAGTTTCAGCCTCGAGCCATAAAATCGCTGGCACAGCGCTTCGTACAGCGCCTTGATCTCTGACAGCTCTTCAGTGCTGTTCACCTCAGCTGTGAAAAACTCTCCGATGGTGCAGCCCATGAAAAAGTTGCACACTCGCAGAGGAGGGACCAACACAACCTAGAGTAGGCCAACGATCCACTGTTTAGTCTTTTGACAGAGTCGGAGAGGAGCGAAGAAACGGTCACGAAGCCCGACTCGAGTTGGCCGTTGCCAAGTGGCCGCGCGAACAAAGGTCAAGTCCTGAGTGCTGGAATTGGACATGCTAGAATATGATGTGGAACTCGTTCTCACATTGTGGCCCTTGTTCAATCTTTTTCGTGTTGAGGACTTGGAGCTCTGTTTCATCCGTCAAAAGCCCTTGATCCTTGTTCCAAAGTCTTTGATAAGCTGAACCTTTTGGTTTCTGAAGTCTAGGAATCCAGGAATGTCGGTCTGACAGTCTGACAGTCTGACAGACTCTGACAGAGAAAGACTCTGAACACAAAGCACAGATCGTCAGATCGTTGTTCCATCCGGAAAGAAACTCAGGCGATCTAGATATCTGACCATGGCTTTTCCCATCTCTGTCAATCCCATCTCCCATGGCTCCCATGGTCAGCCCTCGGCCGCGCCAAGCAGCGCCCGCGGCACTCAAGAAGCGCTCGCGGCGACGCTTCAGCGTCTCCACATCCTCGGATCGGTTCTGGGAGAGCTTTTTTGATTGGCAAGCGCAACGAATGACATCCGACAGCGAGGAGTGAGAACTGCACTCACTGGTATAGTAGATGAGGTATGAGGAGACTAGTGACCAGTGACAAGTATATACCGCAGTGATGTGCAGATATCAAGTTTGGGTCCAAGGAACGCGTTGACAGTCGAGCGCTTGATGCCAAAAGCCCCCCCAGGTGGTGGGGAAGACACGCACTTGGCGAATACACACGGCCTCGCTGGCCTGCAGAAAATCCTCGGAGCAGACTGTCCAAACATCCTGTTTTGTTTGAGGTGCGTAGTTGGGGGAGTAGGCCGTCGAAGGGTAGGTTAGGTAGATCATGCGAGGAAATTCACTAGTGGAAAGGAAGCTGGGAAATCTAGTTTCGGTGTTCACCTTCACACATCCTAAGAGCTCATGCGCTTGGTCCATCATGACAAGCACAGCTAGACACGGACACATCCATGCTTCATCAACTGCTCTTATTCACGTGAAAACAATGCCAAGGAATGCCACTCTTCACTCTACACAGCAGGCCTCGAAGCCGTTGCGCACCAATCTGGTCACCTGATTTCTTCATTGCCAAACCCCTCGAAACTGTTGTTTTCAACCTCAAAAACGATCCAAAGAGCTTCCAAAAAACAATTCAAACGGGTGTTTGTTCAAAAATCCATGTTGAAAAACAGATTGAATGTTCAAACCATTCAAAAAACACAACGTTCAAAAACTATTCAACCAACTTGTTCAAAAATCCATCCCTCCCCGGTCCGTCGTTCAGGTTCGGAATCGACTAGAAGTGAATCTATTGTGACACCAACATCAAACACGACCAACAGACCTCAGCGGACGGCCCCACCAGCAAGAAATCACAAAGCTGCAGCGACAGCAACATACAGGAACCACACAAACCACGGGGACATGTTTGAGAAGTCTCTTGCGGCCAAAAAGGATCCGTGTTTGTTTTTCTTAATACCTAACATAAAGAGATTCTTTAAGATGAAACATATCGATTCTCCGGATTGAGATTCCGTTTGATTGCTTAAGTTGGTAGTTCTAAGGTTGCTTTATCCAAACGTCCCACCTTTCGCATGGCCCGGCCAAGGTGCTCCTTCTGCGCTGGAGCGCGTCCAATCCAGTGGCATGGAGCAACGACGGAGCCCCAGGCTCTCAAGCGCTTGGGCCACTCCACCTCAGCCACAGGTCAGATGCCAAAGGGCTTCATGTTGAAAATGAGAAAATGAGAATCAGTTCTCGCACAAGGCATGTCGCACCAGACCTGTCTCCGAGCATGACTTTGTTGCGCCTTCAAAAACAATAAAAATAAAAAAATAAAAAAAAAAAACACTGTTCAAAGACCTACTCCTTTCGAAAAGAACTGTGTGAATCCGTGCGAATCGATCTGTGAACCTGTTCAGGTTTGTACCAGGTGCAATTAGGACAAATCAGAAGAGCAAGTTCTGACAAGTTGCAGAAGGAGCCGAGGGAAATGAAAGTCATCTGCCGAAGCATTTCCTTCAGCTTATGATCATCCAGACCCAGGTCCCTCCTGAAAAATCTCCAGGTCGACCGAAGACTGGAAGATCTCAAAGAAAAAACGAAAAATCAATGAGAAAAAAAAAGAAATTCAAACTCATCTCACATCCACGATGTGTTCATTGGCATTGCTTTTTGCCTGTTCCTTATTTTTTACCAAATGGCGGGAGGCCGATAGAGGTTCTGATCAGTTTCTCCAAATCGGCTTCAGCAAGGCCAATCTGCCAAACTCCCTCAATTCTCTCCCTCCTGCGCTTGTCTTGCTTCTCTTGCGCAAAGAGGGGGTCTTTGCTCACCACGTCCTCGATTTCCACCGGAGCCTCTCACGCGGCTTCACGCGCCTTGCCGAGCCGCGCTTTTTCCAAGCGCTTTTTCAAGCGCTTCCTCACGGATCCCCGAGAGGCAATACGCTCAGTGACGCCCAACGTGAGACGCTCACCCCGGTGTCGGGGACACCAAACGGGTCGGCCGAATGGCCCGTTGGAGGTCTCCAAAAGTGACCCTCTGAAGGGTCAAAAGTGACCTCTTCTGGTGAGTACCATCGCCCACCCTTGACTTGACCAAAGGAGCTATTTTTCTCATCCTTGACTTGACCTTATCAAGAGATTTCAGGGAGGCATTCCTGAGACATGCCCACATCCTTTTCAACGCTAGGCCTTCAAAAGGCCTAGGTAGCTCAAGAAAAAGCGTAGCCCCTCAGCACCGCCGGCCTCCGTCTTGGCC